AAAAAAGAAGGGAAGGTAATCAAAATAAAATCTACAAAATGTCATATCAAGACATCAAAATAATTAAAACAATTACTTGCACTAGTGTTTGGGTCTTGTTCAGACATTTACGTCCCAATAACATAACTTAGGGCACAAAATACAAGACAACAACAATGGTATGCAGTGGTGCAAGTAATCAAAATAATGTTTCTAATTGGCATTATCAAGCTAATTACACATAATTCAAAAAGTGAACCGAGGCACTACAGTAGGAATAAATATCTTATGCCTCGAAGGTTTTTCCCTTGTTTGGTCCTGAACGAAGGCCTGTAAAATGTTAAATAAGAGGTGAGTACATCTGATCAATAATCAAGGTAGTCTATAACATGCTCATGCAAGTCAAATAATAATAATAGACATGCAAAGTGGACAGTTATAATATAAATCATTATCATTCAATACAAATTAGTGCAATAGATGATCATCATAAACTACTAAACCTCCATCACTACCGACTAAATCCATGAACTACAAATATATAGGAGCTAAACCCATGCGATTGGGCTAGTCCAAACTCATCAATTATGAGAGGTAACTGGGCTAAGGTCCCATACTCAATCTTAGACTATGAATTCTCCCATTTCGAACACCAAGATGTTGCAAAGACTCTATTACTAACATCACTAGTTGGGGTTTAAGGGTGAGCCACGTTACTACCTTTCGCTAGGTGAAGTTTAAAGATATAATAAAAAACCTAACACCATGGCCTAACATTGTTGGTAATCCACATGGACACAATCACTACCCCATTAGGTGAATTCTCGCCATCAATAAGATCATGCCAATATCTCATGCCATTTCACATTGCATATTTCAACATCATCACACTTACCATCAATTACCAAGATTCAAATTAAAAATCATCATTTCAATATTTAACAATCAAATTAATAAACAAGTCCCACTTACACATTTTCAAATGAAAACAATATAATTTCATATATCTATAACTACATAAAACATAATTCCAACTTCATAAACATCTACAATTACTCAACAAAAATAACATGAAATAGATTTCTCTTGGTTACCTCAAACCTGAGAAGCACGGACACGGCAAAATGGCCGGCGTGTCCATGTCGGATATGTATCCGACACGGACACGCGTTCAGTACGCAGGAACGGGCGCGTCCCTTTTCCCAGTTTCTGGCAGACGCAGGCGGACGCGGGTCGAGACGGGTTGACACGGGTCGGACGAAGGTCGGACGCAGGCAGCCGCGAAACTCTGCATTTTTCACTTCCTTTTACTTAGTCCCAGCTCCAGAAATCCGTTGCCCTATCTTTTCAGCTCCAATCAACTATTATTTTACTCAGACCGCTGTTTTCCGCAGTAGCTTCACGGTTCACTCTGTGTCGCTGCCCTCACCCGCTCATCGTCTGCTCTGCCTCAGTCTTCGTATTCGACCGTCTGCTCTAGCTCAACATCTTCGACCGTCTGCTTTGGCTCAACGTCTTCAACCGTCTGCTCTGCCTCACCATCGTTCTTCAGCTTCATTGGTAATTTATTCAGTTCATGTGGTCGGTCGATGGTCATTTTTCAGCTTCATTTTCAGTTCCTCTTGTGCTGCTAAGTGCTGATGGATATTTTATTATTATTATTATTATTGCATTGCATTATTGATTGAATTACTGATTTGAACGAGAGAACTGATCGCCTGATTGAATTACTGCTGAACCGAGAGAGCTGTCCAAACCTTGAATTACTGATTTAATTTTTTTTTTATTTAGATGGATTATTTTGTTGAGTTAAACATTGATTTATTTTAAATTTTTATTAGCTCTCTTCTTGTTAAAATTGCAGGATATTATTTAAAATTAAACCTGTAATGGCTTCTAATTCTAGACTCGGTAGTAGTTCAGGAAGTGTGAATTCTCAATTTCAATCTAGTAATGAAAGACAGAAGAGAGTACTCCTTTATGGGCTTATGTAACTTTGGTTCCTCAAGAAAATGAAGGGGATGGCGGAAATAGAAGTTGGAAGTGTAACTATTGTAATAACCAATATAATGGCTCTTATTCTAGAGTTAAATTTCATTTGTTGAGGATCTCTGGAAAGGGTATTGCTATATGCCCGAAAGTTGATGATAGTTGTTTAGGTGAAATGCGAAAAGCTCAAGAGGAGGCTGAGAATAGAACAAAACCAAGACATGTGCCATTGCCAACTCCAACTGAGAGCTTGTCTCCTTTATGTCAAAGGGGTTCTACCCCTATTCAAAGTGAACACAATCAGGGAAAAAGGAGGGCAATAAATACAATAGAAGAGCTTTCCAACAAGGAGCTAGAAATAATTTAACTGCTGAAATTGCTAGAATGTTCTATTCGGCTGGCTTGTCTTTTAATTTGGCACGTAACCCATATTTTATTAGTGCATTTCAATATGCTGCCAACAACATAATTCCTGGTTTTAAACTTCCTGGTTATAATGCACTAAGGTCTACTTTGTTGCAAAAAGAAAGGGCCAATGTTGAAAAGCAACTTGAATCAATCAAAGGACTTGGAATCATAAGGGAGTAAGTATAGTTACGGATGGTTGGACAGATGTACAAAGAAGGCCATTAATTAATTTTATGGCTGTCAGTGATGGAAGCCCCATGTTTTTGAAGGCAATTGATGTAACTAGTGAGTATAAAGATAGATTTTACATGGCTGACTTGATAAAGAAAGTGGTTGAAAAGTGGGGCCTCATAAAGTTATTCAAGTAATTACTGATAATGCACCTGTTTGTAAATCTGCTGGTAAGATGGTGGAAGATGAATATCCTCACATCTTTTGGACACCATGTGTGGTGCATACACTTAATCTTGCCTTGAAGAATATATGTGCAATAAAAATACAGAGGCAAATGAAATTGTTTATGGAGAATGTCGTTGGATCACTAAGGTGAGGGATGATGCAGTCTTTATCCGAACATTTATCATGAATCATTCTATGAGATTGGCCATGTTTAATGAATTCGTGCCATTAAAATTGCTTGCAATAGCCGAAACAAGATTTGCATCAATAATTGTGATGTTGAAGAGATTCAGACTTATCAAAACTTCTCTTCGTATACTGGTTATTAGTGAAGAATGGAATGCTTATAGAGATGATGATGTTGGAAAGGCTGCTACTGTGAAGCACATAATTCTTAATGATCTTTGGTGGGAGAAGGTTGATTATATTCTCTCTTTCACTAAGCCAATTTATGATATGTTGAGATTTGCTGACACAGATAGACCCACAATTCATTTGATTTATGAGATGTGGGATTCAATGATAGAGCAAATCAAGGAATCAATTTATAAGCATGAAAGAAAATCACTTTCTGAGCTCTTCATTTTATGAAGTTGTTTATAACATCATCATTGATCGATGGACAAAGAGTGTTACTCCACTACATTGTCTTGCCCACTCACTGAATCCTAGGTGTGTTATTTTTATTTTTTATCATGAAATTCTTTTCTTTATCATTTTTGCATCACAACTCCAATTAATGTTATTATATTATTGTAGGTATTATACAACACAATGGCTTGAAGGTGGACTAAATAGAGTCTCTCCACATAGAGATGCTGAAATATCAACTGAGAGGAAAAAGTGCATTAGAAGGATGTTTCCAGATGAAGAAGAGAGGAAATTGGTTATGAATGAATTTTCAAAATTTTCTGGATGTTCAGATGAGTTCTCTTTTGTTGAATCCATACAAGATAGATATATATTAGAGCCTAAGGTTTGGTGGAGCAATCATGGTGCTGATGCTCCTAAACTTTAAAGGATTGCATTGAAACTTCTCAATCAACCATGCTCATCATCTTATTGTGAAAGAAATTGGAGCACTTACTCTTTTGTTCATTCACTAAAGAGAAACAGGATGCTTCCAAAAAGAGCAAAGAACTTAGTTTTTGTTCATTCAAATCTTCGTCTTCTTTCAAGAAAGAGTGAGAAGTATTCCACTGGAGAAAGTAGATTGTAGGATATTAGTGGAGACTGTTGGGAAATAGATGATGTTGAAAATCTTGAAGTTGCAAGTTTATCTCTAGATGAGCCAATTTTGGAGAGAGAACTTATAGAAGAAAGTGGTGATGTCAATGAAGATGAAGAAGTTTAGAATTACTTTAAGTTGATAATTATCTTTTGCCACTTGATAGTGTTTAAGTACTTGACTATTTATTATATTATATTTTGTGATGACATTAGACATCTTGAAATTGTATTTTTAGACATCCAAATATTTAATATTTAATTATTTATATAGCCGTACCCGTATCCTAAAATTTTGAAAAATAGCTGTGTCCGCGTATCGTATCGTATCGTACCTGACACTCGTACCCGTATCGGTGCTTCTTAGCCTCAAACCTTTGAGGACTCAAAGGTTACCCCCAATAACTCACATGCTTCTAAGCTAAACTCAAGCTCTCTAGTGCTTCACAAAATTAATCTACACATAACATTAACTAGCATCACTAATAATCATTAAAATTAGCACTTCCAACTTTGACTATCACACCTTAATAGCCAATTTTCTTAATTACGAGTATAATCTCACACTTAATGAGTTCATTGACTTTTATTTATTAATTTCATTTAACTCCCAATAGCTTAATGAATAGCTAATATAACACCTAAAATTCCAAAATCATCTTTTAGAGACCTAGGTTTTGTCTAAATCACATAAATTCAAATTTAATGGCCAAACCACCAATAGCTATTGTTCAAAAAGCAAAAACTAACTTCCAACAACTTAATTTAGCCCCATTAATTCAGCCATAAACATCCCATAACTCAAAAATCAACCAAAAGACCAAATTGAAGAGGAACTTAGAAACCCTAATATCAAAATGGAGTTAGAAGGAAAAATGAAGGCTAGGAAACTTACCTCTAATGATTACAAGCTCAAAAATCCCCAAAATTGCCAAAATCTCATGCCTTAGCAGAGCTCCACACTGCTTCTTTGATCCTCTCTCTCTCTCTCTCTCTCTCTCTCTCTCTAATTACAAGCTTGAAAATGCCCCAAAACTACCTAAATTAGTGATTAGGCTATAACAAATGATTGAATAGTTCAACTAACATAATACCCCTAAGTTGGCAATAAAGTATTCAAATTACACACGTAAATAGTAGAGACATTACAATAAGAGCTAAGGGTCTCTAGCTTTCGGTGCTTCCCCTTTGCCCTTACTCAGTGTCTCTCCTAAAAATATTAAACAATGAAGAGTGAGATATAAAATCTCAGTAACCAATAAACATAAATTTAAGCACATGTAAGAGAAGAAAATATGAGCAAGTAAAGTGGGAATTTTCATAACCAATGACATTCATGAACTCAAGCATGCATGTAAATGGTATGTGGCATGCATGATCATGGTCCAATCTTATTACTCTCCTTATATTCTCTAATTAAATTAATAGGCTACTAAACATATAGGACTAACCTGTAAGATTGAATTATCCCAACTCTCCAATTGTAAGGGGTTACTTGGCATCTCCCACACTCACTCTCAAATCATGGATTCCCTCTTTTCTAGCAAACTCAGGGGTACCATAGTTGCTTGACCCACACCTTCCCCTTGTAGGAAACCAATGGTAAGCATTTTTAATTAAATTCGTCGACCACCATGCGCAAATCTTGGTGGAGGCCTCAACACATGGATTTTGTAATGTCTTCTAACTACCACATATACTTAACCATAATAATAACAAACTACCATGGTAATTTGTGAAGTGAAAGCAAGTTTGTAAAGCTCATATCAGTCCACTCACTTTCCTCTTTCAACCTATACAATTTAAACACCGTGGTCAATTTTGACACATGTTCCCCAACACCAGTGTACAACGGAGTCCCAGAAGTGCTAACATTATATGGGAGGATATGGCTAAAAAGATACGGGAGGTTGCAAAAGTAGTTTTGGGAGAATCAAAAGGTTCTGGTCCGAGAGATAAGGAGTCTTGGTGGTGGAATAATAGTGTACAGGATAAAATCAAGTATAAGAAGAACTGTTTTAAAGCCATACATTTGTGTAACAATGAGGAAAATTGGGAGAGGTACCGTATGGCTAAGAAGGAAACTAAAAGAGCTGTGGGTGAAGCTCGTTCTAAAGCTTTTGAAGAATTTTATAAGAACCTTGAGACGAAGGAAGGAGAGCAAAATATTTATAAGATTGCCAAGAGTAAGGAAAGAAAATCAAGAGATCTAGAACAGGTAAGGTGTATTAAGGATGAAGAGGGAAGATTTTAGTTACAGATGATGAAATTAAAAATAGATGGGAGACTTATTTTTCTAAACTTTTCAATGATGGAGAGGATTCATCTAGTAACTTGGAGGATTTAGTAACTGGTGAAGGAGAACAAAATTTGTCATTCTATCGAAAAATACGTGATAAGGAAGTAAAGGAAGCTCTTAAGAAAATGGCAAATGGTAGAGCCAACGAACCTGATTGTATATCTATCGAAGCGTGGAAATGTTTAGGTGAAGAAGGGGTGAGATGGTTAACTAAGTTATTTAATGTGATTTTACGGTC